TGGGGCAGGCCATGGATGGGGTGAGCTGGGTCAGGGATCCCAAGGAGGTGTGGAAAGCAGGGAGGGGATGAGAAGTGCTATCCCAGAGCGTGGTTTGGAATTGGAGTGGCACAGTGAAGGAAATTCCTTCCTGTGAGGATGGGCTGCCCAGAGAAGCTGCGGCTGAAAGTGTCCAAGGCCGGGTTGGAGAAACCTGGGATAGTGGAAGGTGTCCCGTCCTGGTTTGGAGCCAGAGTTTCCCAAGCAAACAAACAGGGAATGCTGCTGCACATCCCGATTTAGGGGAAAACCAGGAGGGGTGGGATCAGAGGGTTGTGATCCCCTGTCCTCTCTCTGTCCCCAGCCCGGTACATCGGCTGCTACGAGGACAACACCCGGCAGAGGACCCTGCGCGGGATGTCCTTCTTCGACTACAAGAAGATGACAGTGTTCCGTTGCCAGGACAACTGTGCCGAGCGGTAGGGACGGTGACAGGGGCTCCATGAATCCCATCACACTCCATCAATCCCTGCACACCCGCTCCATCAATCCTTTCCCACAATCTCCATGAATCCCTGCACACCGTCCCCATCAATACCCGCACGCCGTCTCCATCAATCATTTCCCACCATTTCCATGAATCCCTGCGCACCCTCTCCATCAATCCTTCCCCCACAGGATGGGATAATGGGATAGGATAGGATCCGATATTTTCAGCTGGAAGTGCCCTGCAAGGATCATTAGCCCAGAAATGAATCCCTGGGATCATCAGCAGGAATGCTCCTTCCAAACCCGTGCTGAGATCCCGTCTCCCTCTCGGCAGGGGGTACCTGTACGCGGGGCTGGAATTCGGGGCCGAGTGCTACTGCGGGCACAAGATCCAGGCACCCAACGCCAGCGAATCCGAGTGCAACATGGAATGCAAGGGAGAGCGGAGCAACACCTGCGGCGGGATCAACCGGCTCTCCGTCTACCGCCTGGAGCTGGCCCAGGAATCCGCACGGAGGTGTAAGTGGACGCATCCGTGTGGATCCCAGCTCAGCCCTGGAATGGGGGGGACTTCTCTCGGTGCTGGCAGGGTGATCCTGGCATTCCCGAGACAGGTCATGGCTCCTTGGAGGTTCTTGGAGTGAGTCCGGGATAGTTTTGCTCCTGTGAACATCAGGAATCCCCTTGTAGGGAATGCTGCTGGCTGGGGTTGGGTGGAATGAGGAGCCCCAAGGATTCCTGCTGGAATTCAGGGAATTTTGGGGGATTTTGGGTGGAGATTTCTTTCCCGATGGCCAAACAGGACCATCAGGGTCTCCTGTGTGTGCTGCAGGATGAAGGATGTGTGGGAATTCCAGACAGAGCTGAGGGTGCTCCCTCATTAGGCTCCCAATTAGGCAGCTCTATAATTACCCACATTCCCCACTCCCCTTTCCTCATATCCGAGGAACGGGAAAGGGGATGGCAGCAACCAGGAATGCAGCGGGGCTGAGGGTACCACGGACCAAGGATGGGATTCCAGCATCGGGAAAGACCTGACCAAACCTGGCCCTGCTCTCCTCCCTGGCTCCATCCCTGGGATCACCGGGCTGATAAAAACAGCCAGGAAAAAAATATCCCAGACTTTGCTGCTGGGGTTTTGTGGTTTTGCTCTGATTTTGCTCCGTCATCCAATGTGGTGGCACCACTGGGGCCATTGGGAATGCCGCTGGAGTGTTCGGGAATGCCACTGGAGCAGTCGGGAATGCCGTGTCACACTGTGTCACATGGAGTGGCAGTAGTGTCATTTTTGGGGTGTCACTGGGACCCCTCTCTCTCTCTTTCTCTTTCCCAGATGGAAGCGCGATATTCCGGGGGTGCTTCCGCCGGCCGGAAAACGTCTCCATCGCCCTGCCCGCCAGCCAGCTCATGCTGAACATGTCCGTGGATAAATGTGTGGATTTCTGCACGGAAAAGGTACCGGGAGAAACTTCACTTCTTCGTCTTTGTTTCCATCATCGTCGTCAGAGTCGCACCAGGAGATCTGAACCCACTTTAGGGATATCATTTTTGTGTATCCAAACGGGATAAATGGATTCGTGTCCCTGCCACGAGAGGGACCGGAGCCAGCAGCAGCTCTGGGAAAGTTTGGGAAGGAGCATCCCAGAATTCTATTTTAGGCTGGAAGGGACATTGAAAGGAGCCACCGTGGGGTCCTGCTCTGGTCCAGGGGTCTCATCCTGGGGCGCGGTGCCTCCGAGCAGGGAGGGGAAAGGTTGGCAGTGGGAACTGAGCAGGGGTGGATGCTGGAATGGGCTGGGAATGGTCTGGAATGATGCTTGAAATAGGCTGGAAAGGGCTGGAAGGATGCTAGAAATAAGGTGTAAAGATGCTGGAATGGTCTGGAAGGATGCTGGAATGGTCCGGAATGATGCTGGAAGGATGTTACAAACCACCCTGCGCTGCCCAGCGAGGGCGGGTGCGAGGGGTGAAGGCTCTGCCGCGGGGTCGGGGTGGTGCCAGCGCCATTCCCTCCGGCCATCCCTGCAGGAATTCCCGCTGGCGGTGCTGGCGGGCACCACGTGCCGCTGCGGCTTTCCCAGCACGCTGTTCCCGCTGCACGAGCGCGAGGACGAGCAGCTCTGCGCCCACAAATGCGCCGCCGAGGAGTTCGAGAGCTGCGGCTCTGCCGAGTTCCTGCTGGTCTACCAGACCCAAGTGCAGGGTGAGCTTTTTCCCCACCCTTCCCCCAGGAATGCCGGCAGGGAGTGGGAGCATCCCATTAAAAATGAGAGTTTCCTTTCATTCCCTGGGAAATCAGCGCTCCCCTGGTGAGCTGGGGCTGCTGCCAGACTCAGCAGCAGATTCCGTCTGCCTCTGGCAGGATTCCTCCTTCCCAGGGCTTCTCCCACCTCTCCATGATCCCATGGGTGTCTGCTATCAGACAAGCTCCAGGGAAAAACGTGACCGGGCAGAACATTCCCGAGAGGGCTCTTGTTCTCCAGCAGTGGGAGCGGGGAGCCAGGGAAGCACTGGAAGGGAAAACTGTTCCTGGGAAAGGAAAGGGCTGAAGGGAGCAAGTGAGGACCCAAATTCAGGTGGTTTTGGGTCAGTCTTGTCACGATCCTTTGGTGTTCTGAGCCGTGCTGGAAACGCTGTTCGCTGATCCATGAAAAAAGCAGGAGCGTTGCTCAGCACAGGAATCCCTGTTAGTACCTCTTCCCTAAGCACACAGCTGGGAATGACAGACAACTCTTTGGAAAATATCCTCTTAGGATTTTTCAGGTGTCTAGGACTCTTTGAAGTGTCCGGGACCCTTTGGAATGTCCCTCTAAGCCTTAGGCAGGGCACCTTTCCCTGCCCAGCCACCTCCTCGCCCCTTCCACAGCATTTTCCAGGGAGCAGCAGCGCTTCCTGAGAAATCCCTGTGGGAAAAGCAGCTTTCCATGCCACATTCCTGATGTCTCTCCCTGCAGACAATCGCTGCATGGACAGGAGGTTCCTGCCCAGCCGTGCCAAGCAGTTGGTGGCCCTGGCCAGCTTTCCTGGAGCTGGGAACACCTGGGCCCGGCACCTGATCGAGCTGGCCACCGGCTTCTACACCGGCAGCTACTACTTTGATGGCTCCCTCTACAACAAAGGTGAGGGGAGGGCGCTCCTGGGATCCCACCCCAGCTGGGGACAGTCCTGGTGACGTCCTGGGGGCTGCAGGAGGGGCAGGGCAGAGCTGGGTGTCAGCGGTGCTGCTCTATGGGCTGCAGTGTCCTGGTGAGGGAATTCCTCCCTGGGAGGGTGGGGAGCTCCTGGCAGGGGTTTCCCAGAGCAGCTGTGGCTGCTCCATCCCTAAGAGTGGCCAAGGCCAGGCTGGACAGGGCTTGGAGCAGCCTGGGATAGTGGAAGGTGTCCCTTTCCAAGGGGGTTGGAATGAGATGAGCTTTAAGATCCCCTCCAACCAAAAGCATTTTGGGATTCTGGCTCCAATAACCCACCCCATTCCCAGTTCCCCCAGTTTAGAACCGCTCACAGTTTTATCTGGAGACCTTGAAGGTTTCTCCTGTTGTTCCTTCACTTTTTGTGGCTTTGAGAGGAAATTCTCTCTTCCTCCTCAGCTGTGGTGGAGCTAGGATCCCTATCTGTGCCATGGGGTTGCTGGGGTTTTCCAGCAGGTATTCCCTAAATCCCCATTTCCCCAACACCACAGGCAGCACATTCCTTCCGAATTCCTGTCAAATCCAGCCTTGCAGAGAGGGAGATGCTGAGTGAGGGGGCACTGTCCCAGCCCCCAGGGTGCAGCAGCAGTGGGAAAAGCCTTGGCTGGGTTTTGCTGAGCCACCCGAGCGTGGGTTCCGTGCTCGTTCCCTGGCGGAGGGGCCAGGAGGTATCCAGGCAACCGGCAGATTTATCCACCTCCGAGAGCCAATTACAACTCTCTAATTGATGGAAAACAGCTCCTCCCTGCTTATCCCCCACTCCAGGTGCATTCCAGGGCCTGGGATTGGAGCTGGCTCAGCCCCATGCTCGGTGCAGGGTCCCCTCTCTGGACCCCCGCCATGGCATCACCCCCACCTTGGGCTGATCCTCTGCCCCACGGGCACAAGGATTTCCCTTTCTGTGTTTATTGCTGGGAGAGTTTCCACTGTGCTCAGGGAGGTTAAAGCCATAAAATCTGCCCTTGACCCCCCTAAACAGGCACAGGAGCCGAGTGTGGCCAGGGAGATGTCACCCTGAGGGGCCCCCGCGCCTGCGAGCCACCCACTCATGGATTTTATGAGACTCGTAACATGGGAAAATAAATTATTTCCATCTGGGAGAGGGATGTGAATCCTCCTTCACGCCCCAGCTTCTTTCATCATCTAACTGGATTTTGCAACCTGATATCCCTGTGATGTTCCCTTTCATGGAAACATGGGATCATTTGGGTTGGAAACACTCTCTGAGATTGAATCCAACTGTTCCCCCGGCGCTGCCAAGGCCACCATGTCCCCACGTGCCACATCCGCACGGATTCTAAATCCCTCCAGGGATGGGGACTCCATCACTGCCCTGGGCAGCTGTGCCAGGGATTGATCACCTTTTGGGTGGAGATATTTTCCCTTAAATCCCATCTAAACCTCCCAGGCACAACTTGAGGCCGCTTCCTTTAATCCTGGTTTTCCCTGGGAGCAGAGCCCGAGTGCCCTCAGCTGTCCCCTCCTGCCAGGGAATTGTGCAGAGCCAGAAGGTCCCCACTGAGCCTCCTTTTCCCCTGGCTGAGCCTCCTTCCCAGCTCCCCGTCACTCCCATTCATCCCAGCTCTCTCCGGGCAGGATTCAAAGGCGAGCGGGATCACTGGAGAAGTGGGAGGACCATTTGCATCAAGACCCATGAGAGTGGGCAGAAGGAGATCGAGTCCTTCGACTCGGCCATCCTGCTCATCCGTAACCCCTACAAGGCCCTGATGGCCGAGTTCAACCGCAAATACGGGGGACACATCGGCTTCGCCGCCCACGCCCACTGGAAGGGCAAAGGTAGGGCAGGGAATCCTCTGGGAGAGCTCCAGCCCGGCTGCTGGAGCTGGGAATTGGTTGGGAAATCCCAGCAGAGCCAGAGTTGGGTGTCCACGGGGGAATCTTGGGCTGTGGCACCACTTTGAGGCCAGCTCTTGGTGAGAGCTTGGATGGTCACGCGCTGCCGTGGTGGGTGGGGTGGGACAAGATGGGAAGGGACGGAACAGGACAGCAGGACCACCATCCCCTGGCTGGCCCAGGCCAGGATGGGCATCTCCCGTCCTCAGAGTGACCACGGTGAGTTCTGGCAGCCCCCAGCCCATCCCTACGTCATCCAGGCGTTATTCCCGTGTGTCCGGCTGCTCCTGAGCCACCGCCTTTCCCACGCACAGGCGTGTGCCCGAGGCTGCTTAATTACAGCAATTTCCAAATTGCTGTTGTGGGATTGACTTCATTGGAAAGAGTTAAAATGTTTAGCTCGATTGAACATCTGCTACCCTTAATTCCGAGTTTATTTAAGGGGAGCTTTGGCTGCTGTGGCTGGGATGTGCCTGGATTTCGTTATCTCCATGTGCTCACAGTGCTGGGGACAGCCCGGCCCTGCTCTCTCCATCCCATAAAACCAGCGGGATGTGGTGTCCCCCACTTCCTCAGCCTCGTGTCCCCGGGCTGGCACTGTCCCCACTGCGGTGGCACAGGAGCCCCTCTCGGTTGGTTTTGTTCCCCATGCATCTGTGGATGGATCCAGGGTTGGTATCCCAGCACCACAGGGAGCCTCCTGAGCCTTCCCAATCCCAAACCCCTGCCCAGCCTGTCCCAGGCCTCGGAGATCCAGCCGGGACCATTCCCTCCACGCCAGCACAGTCTCGTTTGGATGCACTTCAAAGTACATCACCAAATTCTTTCCAGAGGATGTGTGGAGCAATTAGCCGATGGGTTAATTGTCAGGTTAATTAACCATTGCTGGGAAAGATGGAGATTTTCCATTGCATGTTTGGTGACCCCATTCCCAGCTGGAGAGGCCCCTGAACACGGAGCATGAGGGTCCCATTCCCGTCCTTCCCTGCAGCCAAGCTCTCCACATTATTTTCTTCTCCCAGGAACTCATTTTGGGGCAAATTTGAGAAAAAAAATCCCCAGGCCCTCTCTGCAGCCTCACCCCCAGTGCTGAGGGGGTGTTTTCCCATCTCCCCCAGCCCATCCCCAGCCCTGCAGAGGCCAAACCCCCGCTTGGTTCTGTGGCATTAATTTTACGACATCCCTGGAGCGGCTCCAAAGCAAAGTTTTATGTGCTGTGATTACACAAGGTGAATTGTCCTGGATCTGTTTAATGGAACACATCCTGTGGTTAACGATTCCTCAGGGAATTAAGCCCAGTCCAGCTGCTAATCAGGCCCTGGTTTTTGCGGGGAGGACACGAGGAAGAGGGAGACGCTTTTAACGCAGCCGATTCTCGTTTCATCACCCCTTTTACCACCTGATTTGAATGGCGGGATCAATTAACCAGAAGCTTAATTGAGAGCTTCCAGCAGGGATGGGAGAGGACACAGAGGACATCCACTCACACCCTCTGCTCCTTTTTTTTTCTTTCTTCCCCCCAGAGTGGCCCGAATTTGTGGCCAACTACGCTCCGTGGTGGGCAACCCACACGCTGGACTGGCTGCGCTACGGCAAGAAGGTGCTGGTGGTGCACTTCGAGGACCTCAAACGGGACCTGTTCGTGCAGCTGCAGAGGATGGTGGCACTGCTGGGCGTCACGGCCTGCGAGGACAGGCTGCTGTGCGTGGAGGGACAGAAGGACGGCAACTTCAAGCGCTCGGGCCTGAGGAAACTGGAGTACGACCCCTACACCCCCGAGATGAGGAAGACGATCAGCGGCTACATCCGAACCGTGGACGCGGCGCTGAAGCTCCGCAACCTCTCGGGGGTGCCCGAGGATTATTTCCCCAGATGATGGTGACGGCGGCGGGGGGACCGCGCCCTGCGTGGCCAGGGGTGGCTCTCGGTCCTCCCGGCTCCTGCCTAATTCCACCCAGTGGGTGGCTGCTCTTTTAACCCTCCGTGTGCTGCTGTAGCTGTTGGTCACTCCCTGCATGAGCCACCACAGGTCCCCAGACACCGCTGAGCTTTTTTTTGGCCAACCTGGGGACACGGGTGCCTTCCCTGCCCCGGGGTCCCTGCTCCCGTTCTGGCTGCTCCAGCCCTCCTGGGAAGTGCAGTGGGAAGTTTGTGTCCCCCTTGGGCTCTCCTGGGGACGCCGAGCTGCTCGGGCAGTGCCTGAAGCACCCAGAGCTGCTGGAGCTGAGCTCCCTGGGGGTGGGTATCCCCAGAATCCCAGCCCTGGAAGGATTCCTCTTGTCCTGGATGGAATCTTCAGCCTTCCCGAGGCCGTGGCACCGTGTGGGTTCCCGTGGATCCTGCCTGAGGTTATGGGATTGGCAAGGCCGTGCTGTGCGATGTCCCCAGACGTGGTGGCTGTGGCACCTCGAGCCATCCTGTGGCTCCCAGAGAATTCCCTGGAATTCCCCAGCCACAGCACCAGGCAAAGTTGCTGCTCCAGCCGTTGATGGGAGGCCCATGACCCCCACCAGCGGGGCCACAGGTGGAAGCTCCCCTTCCCTGTGGATGCTGCTCCAGAGGGGGACGTTTTCCCTGGACAGAGGAGCTGTTGGGACCCACGAGCTCATCCAGGCCTCATTTCAGAGCCCACGAGCCAGAACGGCCCCTCAGGAGCATTTCTGGGGGGTCAGAAGTAGTTTTGGGGGACCAGGGTCCACACTGCAACCCCAACCCCCGTGGGGAGCAAACCCTGGGGCTGAGCTTTGGGGTGTCCCAAAGCCAAACCAAAGGATCCCACACACCAGGAATGTGCCGATTTCTGGGCTGGCTTCGTGCACAGCTGCATGTGGTCCCTGGCTGTCCCCTCATCCCACGCCACCCTCCCCGTCCTGGCTTTGCCCCAAACGAGCTCCCCAAAGCTCCCAACCCGCAAGACCCCCTTGGATGTAGGTGCAAAAGCCATATATTGTACGCAGCCTTTTCTAGAGTTAGAGATTCACCAGTTGGCTTTTAACTCTTGATCCTGATAGAAATGCAGGCCCAGGTGGAATCCAGAGAGCCTGCTTGGTCTCTGTTCCAAGAGAGATGAAAACTCCCTGGAGAAAAAAGGAGAATTTCAATAAAAATCTATTTTTCTAAGGTGTGTGCGGAGCAGAGCTGGGCTGGGGGGGGGATCCTGCTCCTTGTTTTTTTGAAGGAGGTGGGGGGGATTGCATTCAGAGGGAGCAGCTGCCCGGTTTTTAACTCTTCCCTTGACAGGTAGCTGGAGGATTTTTGGGATTCGTGGCAGTGGGAAGGCAGCTGGGCCCATCCTTTGCTCATGGCAGCCCCGGGGATGTCTGTCAGTCAGAACAAACCCTCAGGGCCACCCAGCAATTAAAAGAGAGCTTTTGTTGCTGCTCTGCCTCCCGTGTGTTTGTGGGGCCACCTGAGCACCCCCAGCCATCCCAGACCAGGGATGTGGGAGCGAAGGGAGAGTGGCTCCTCTCCCCTTTAATCCCATTAATTCATTTCTGTATTTAAGCCCATTAAGGGGTATTTAAATCCTGTTACTGTCGTTTCTGTGCTGACCACGCAACCAAAGTGGCTCCTTTTTGGGAGCTTTAGCACCTGGAGAGTGTCCTTACAGACAGATTTAATGGGATGCGTGGTAGGAAGGGGGAGATTCACTGCAGGATTTATTTCTGCCCTTCCTCGGCACCAGAGCGAGAGCTGGCTGCGATTTATCCCTTATTTCTAATCTGGAATTGGTGAAATTCCCTTTTTTTAATTTTTTTAATTTTTTTTTTTTTTTTAGCAGGGATGAAGCCTCACATCAGTCTTGATTTGTTCTGACAGGCCCCGGCCACCAAAGGGGCAGCGCTCCCTCCCTCCCCTCGGAAGTAATTAACCCCCCAAAGCCAATTAATGGCCGAGATAAAGCAATTAAGGGATGACATCGCGTGCGGCGCCCGGAGCCTGGGCTGCAGCTTGGGAGGAGGGAGGGGAGGAGACCCCACATCTGCACCTCCACAAACCCCTTCCCACAAAAAAAACCACCCTGGGAATCTCCCCAGCCTCCAGCAGTATCAATTTACCTCTTTTTTATTTATTTCTCCCTGCTTTTATTGCACCGCAACTGCTTTTTTTTTTTTTTTTAAACTTTAATTTACGCTGAAATGGAGCAGTTGGAAGCTATTATGACCGTGTCAGGGCGTGCTGCACATCTGGCTGCACCTCTGGATTATGGGATCCCCCTTCCCCTCATCCCACTGATGCAGGAGCAGCTTCCCCCTCCCGCCAGGAGCTGCTGGCCCCGCACGCACAGCCCGAGCTGGAGCTTTGTACACCGATTTTTTTATTGATTTATTAAACGCTGGGCTGTATTTTAACCACGTGGGACTGGCACGCAAGGATAAAATCCCTATTCCCCCTGGGAAAAGGAGCCAACCACCCTTCCCGCATCATTTTCCGGGGGAAGGCTCTTGACATTTAATAGCCTGCTCGGCTGCCTCCGTGGTGCCTGGGGGAGGCAGCACTCAGCCTTTCCATGAGGATTTGAAAAGCTGGGAATCTTTCCGCTTGACTCAGCCTCAGCATCCCTGGGTGGGCACAGCTCGCCCTGCCCTGGTGTGGGGCTGGGGGCACCGTGACCCGCCCCGCTCCTCCCTGGATTCTTGCGGGGAAAATCATCTATTTTTGGCGATCTCGCATCCCTGGGAGCGTTTTCCTGCCTCCCGGTCCTGCTGCGGCATTCCTCCCTCCAGGGCTGCATGGGTTGCTCAGCTGTTGCCGTGGCAACGGCGTCTGCACCAAAAGCTCCCGCATTTCCCCCAATTCCCGGTGGGCTTTGTGCTCCCTGGACGTTGGGATGTTATAGGGGATGCCAAGTGTAGCTCGGGTCCTGGATCCCTTCCTGGCAAATGCTCCTTTGGGGTGAATTCAGGGGATTCTGGGCAATGCCCCCAGTGATGCAAACGATGCTGGGGGGCTCAGAGAGGAGGAGTTCCCCTTCTTCCCAAATTAAATCCCGTGAAGTTCCAGCTTCGTTTAAAAAAAGGGAAATTCCCCCCTCCCCAAGCCCAGCAGCAACACTTCCACAGAAACCCCAGAATGGGGAGATGGGCCATAAATCTGAGAGCAGCCATCTCCCTCCCCTGCAAAACCAACAGGTTTATCTATCAGCTTGGTTATTTCCCCTAAAATTTACGGCTGACAGCATGCCTGAAGACAGCAGGGATAATTTAAACCTGGCTCCAACCTGCCTGTCTCCGAGCAAAGGGAGAGGGGAACAAGTTTAGTCCTTTTTTTTTTTTTTTTTTTTTTC